TTAAGAAACAGCGGGCTGCACGGTGTGATCTCACCTGTTACTGTGACCTCCAACCACTGCGTTGCAGCCACAACACACGAACACACACAAACACGAACACACACACACACACACACCTCAACCCCGCAGCCACGGTGCGCACCGCGCGGACGTGTGTGTCTCCGTATAAAGACCGTGAGCGCGAGCGAAGTTCAGCGTCAACGTCAACACGGATCCTGAAAGGATTGGGTTTCACTTCCAGACGAACGGAGGAGCCGAGTGTGAAGCTCGTGTCGCGTGAATGGCCCTGAGTAAAAGGAAGAAACGCCTGATCCTGCTTCTGTATGCACTGTCTGCAGCCCTCCTGACCACCATCGTGGTGGTCCTGATGGTGGTCCTGATAAATCAACAGAATGACTTCAGACACACGTTCATCAGCAGGTGTGAGGGCTTTGAAGGGTGAGTGCTAGAACGTCTTATTTGTATGGATTTTTGGTGCATTTTTATTTAAAGAAAATTGATTTTTAACCCAGTTTTTCTGCAATTACTAACTTCAGTGAGTGATTTTAAATTATTTTATTTTCATCAAGAAAATACACAACGGGAGTATTTGCTATGTATGTAATGTGTTAATATTTTATGTTTATATCTATTTTTATAACTCTAATTGCTGGCATCAACCAAACATGGAACCATCGCTGACCTTTGAACTGAACCTAATTTAGGGTCTTAGGAACCTGGACTGAGAAATGACTGAAGAGTCTGAGAAAAAGACTGGATGATTCTGATAAAAGTAGAGGAAAAAAAAAAAGAAACTGTCATGAAATCTAAATGGAAGTGTTTGGGAAGAAGACTGGAGATAAATCTGGATATAAATAAAAGACTTGGATCTGTCTTAAATTCTGGGGTAAGGCAGGAGACGGACTCTGAGGTCCAGAGACTCCACCAAGACCACTGTGAAGTCAGCTACTTACCAAACAACATGGAGGGAAGGTGACAAGAAGATGATGATGATTTGATCAGATGACACAAAATGAACGCATCTATAATGATGTCCGTTCTGTTTAAAAAAAAAAACTAAAAGGAAGCGAGTGGTGAAGACCACCAAAGACCACCAAAGTCCTCCCAGTGGACACAGATGTGGGAGTAAAGACTGATGGTTGGCTGGAAAAATCAAATCATACAAAAAAAAAAAAAACATCAGTGGTTCTCAACTGGAGGGTCGCAACCCAAACGTGGTTCACTGAATTGTTTTTAATGCAAAAAAAAACCAAACAAGAACAACAACCCAGTAACAACAAGAGTTGTTGACATGGAGAAGACAACATGAGTTCCTGCTCAGGAATCTCATAAAACCTGGACCGTGGACAATCAATGTCTAGTCGAGTCGAGATAAGAGACAAGGAATGTTCTGGAAACTTCTACAGAAAGTACCAACAAAAACTGCAGGGAGGACGGTGGTCACTTTGACCTCAGTGGAATTTTGTGAAGTTAGCTTTTAAAGTTAGCTTACCTTACAGTGAGATACGACCTCATGGTCAGTTCTGTACTGCGTCTGTGTTTCTGTAGGTACTCCAGCTTCTGCCCTCAGTACACAAACATGAAGTATTACGTTACCATTCTTTACTCATATCATATCAGTGCTACGTAGCGTGGACGGCTTCACACTTTGCTTGGTGAAAAGGCAAGACCTACTTTTCATGTGTAATTTACAGTGAAGATCAAACAAACTGCAAATGTGGGCAAATCTCTGGCAGTGAAGAAACACATCCTGTGTGGCTTCCATTGTCAGACGTGACACCAAACACAGATATTTGCCTATGACAGTACGATGCAAAACACCAAGAGCTTTACAAGGAGACGCTAAGTTGAAATTCTGGTTTTTAAACAAATAAAATAAATACTAGTGACTGTGGATTTTTCTGATCCTGATTTTACCTGCAGTTTTAAGAAGCTACAATAACAGAACACCTCAACCATGAAGCTCTGTGAATACGGGCTTCAGTCGAACGAACGCACTCCTTTAAGTTGGATTGTTAATTGAGTTGTAATTTTCACGGTTCTTCTTAAGTAATTTTTTTTTTTTTTTTTACTTTTTTTTTTTCAGATATGACTGCAAAAAGTTATGGAAGGTGTTCCAACAGGCCTACGTAGGGAAGAGCGCCTGTAAGGTTCCCGTGGAGGCCTATGACCCTCTCCTGGCTGAAGCCCCGATCCAACCAGCATGCAACAGAGTAAGACAGAGTAACACATCTACAGCTGTCTAGACAGATCTTATATATATATCTGTGTATCAGACAAGGCCTCCTGGTGATGAAACAAAAAGAAACACTGTTCTCTAATTTAGACTAAATGTCAGAGCTTGAATTTGACAAGAAATTTAGTCGACCTAAATCTGAAACGACCAAATCAGAACTTGAACTACTCAGTAAAACAATCCAATTTTCCAGAGACTTTGTTCAAACTGACTTGGTTTTGGAGCCCACTGGACACTTCCTGTCAACAACAGACACTCTAGTCCACTTCTCATTCCACACCGTTGAAGTCATGACTTATTGGATGTTTTGTTTTTTTCTTTATAATAACTTATCTCTTTTCTTTCTTTTAAGATGATGTTCTGGAGCAGATCGAAGCAGGTGGTCCATGATTTCACAGAGAAGACAGATTGTTTCATCACCCTGGAGGACACTCTGTTGGGATCTGTCCTAGACGGACTGAGCTGGTGTGGAAAAGAGAACAGCAAAGGTATGTTAGAACAAAAAAACCCCAAAAAAACAAAACCACCTCCAGGCAGGAACAGACTTGGAGTTAAGGTGAAATTGTTGAAGTTTTTTTTTTTCATGTTTGTTTGCATGCTTTTGTGACAAAGAAAGATGGGGATTAACTTTGGTCGATTTGACATTCAACATAACCATGCTGCATTCTTACGGCAGACGTGACATCAAGACGCTTACTGATAATTACAACAAGTCAACGCACGTCTGTTGTCTGTAAAACTGGCCTGAAGTTAATGGACCTGCAGCAGGAGGTTTTACCAGAAACACAGAAACAGAAAACTATGACTAAAAATGAGCTTTATCTCTGAAGGCATACGGAGATACCAACCTACCTGCAGTACGTCTGCTGACCAGCAGGGCCTCAAACAATATTCATATGTAAACATATAGATATATGAAAATATATATGTGCATAGTGTATATATGTTTATATAAACACACAGACATTATACACACACATACTGCATATGTATACATATGTACATACATATGCAATATGTGTATGTTTGTATATATATATATAAATATATACTGTGTTTGTGTCAATATATGTATATAATCATTCATATTTGCATATACAGTATGTATGCTATATATATATATAAACACATACACAAACATAATATAAATATATTTATGCATTATATAATACATTGTAAATATAGAAACAGATTTTATTTTTTTTCTCTTTACTAGTCTGGTTTTGTGGACTAGTCTTGTTTTCCCCGTGCTGCTCGTCTCTGCCAACCTGGACCAGCCAACGCTGACAAAAACATTTGAGGGTCTGATTGTGTTCTGTGTCCTAGAAACGTTCACCAACAACTGCCCAGGTTGGGACGAGTGTGAGAACAACCCAGTTCGCTCATTCTGGAAGAAGGCCTCAGCTGAGGTGAGTTACCGAGGTGGAATAAAAACCAAAATCCCAGGAGGAGGTGTTTGGTTAGACGCACATGTGGATCATGAAGTGTCTCCTGTGGATCAGTGAGTTTGATAGAGCGGGATAAAGAAAAGGTCATTCTCTCTTTTCATTCCCGGCTTCTTTATCAATGAGGCTTTGTGTCGGTCTCCATGGAGCCACATTGCAGAGCTCTCTCCTGAGCGAGCGGAGGCAACCCACGCACTGCCAGGAGACCTCACGCAATCATATCAGCGTTAGCCAATCACAGCAGCTCTACAGCTGACACGAAGGGAATCAAACGGAGTTCTTCAATGACGATGCAGTTTCTCTTTTTTGTGATATTCTTTCAAGACATTGACTCTAAAGTACTGCAGTGTTGCGTAGCTGTTTTCTCATGTGACGGACACAGGATTCTAAACTGCTTTGAAAGCTGCGATGTGTTATTGTTGAGCTGAATGAACGAAGTCTTCATCCCCGAGGTACAGAGTGAAGACACCAGGTCTGACCTGAACCAGGGTGAACGAGCAGAACTCAGTCAGGAAAGACATCTGGTCCTAAAACCCGTGAAAACGTACACGTGTTGAAGATTAGCCACGGTTAGCGACGACAAAGAGAGCAACCAAAATTGACTGGTTCTTCCCAGATGTTGAAGATGATTTATAAATCTCCCAGTCTGAAGTGACCACCTACTAGATCGCCATCTACAGGAAACAATAAGAAGTCAACCTGGTCTTTGACTCTTTTTAAACTAAACTAAATATTGTGATTTGGGATTAGACGGACAGTCCAAACACGGACCTCCGTGTTTGGACTGTCAGTCTGGTTCTGTGGCCTTTATTTATTTTAATTTAAAACTAGCACAAACAAGATAGTTGCCCTCTGGTGCAGGCGTGTCAAACTCACATGTTTCACCGGGGGGTAAATGTTCAGTAAGTACTTCATAACGAATGAATAAATGTTTCTGCGACTGATTTCTATTTATTGAAGTTTCAGTTATTGAACTGTGCTGTGTAGTAAAAAAAAAGATTATTAAATTCAGCAGCACAGACTTTATTCCAACAGAAATGCTTTTTTCCCCATTGTTCCCACGGGCCACACAAAAGGACTTGGTGGACCAAACCTGGCCCACAGGCCTTGAGTTTGACACATGTGCTCCAGTGGCTGGATTTGAGGGTTAAAACCAGTTGACCCACATACTGAAGACCAACCTTTTTGGTACAGACGCCCCAAACAAAGTACTACTTGTTAAAAAAAAAACTTGCAGATGCTTCAGTGTAGTTTTTACAACATACCCCAGGGGCACCGCAGGTTTTCCATGGGGGTTTCCAGTTGTCTCTGCTGTAGACCATTATCCTTTCTCTCCTCCAGGGGCAGTAGAGATAACACGTGTCTGTATCCTGATTATAGTCACTCTTTCTCCTGTGCAGTACGCCCATGCTGCCTGTGGTGGTGTCACAGCCATGCTGAATGGATCCATCTCCCCGCCCTACAACTCCAGCAGGTGAGCTGACCGAGCTGAAGGTTCTAGAACGTGCTACTAAAAAAAAAAAAAAAAAAAAAAAAAAAAAAGGAGATAATGAATATCTAAAGAAGTTTGACGATCACCACAGTATTATATCACAGTATTACACCACAGTATTATATCACAGTATTATACCACAGTGTTATACCACAGTGTTATACCACAGTGTTAGACCACAGCTCCAGGATGAACTTTGAACATCTCCTGACTCTGTTTGTCAGACTCTTATCTTCTCTGTGGCTGTTAACTAGGCTGTGAATATACTGACTACATGTCAGTACGTATGACTACCTGTCAGTACGTATGACTACATGTCAGTACGCAGGACAGGGCTTCATGCCAGTACGCAGGAGTACATGTCAGTATGTGTTTTTATGTATTATGTAACCTCTCATATCCTGGACCGTGTTTTTCCTGACAGTATTTTCGCCAGCGTCGAGGTCCCGAGACTAAACTCCACCAGAGTGAACAGCCTGACAGTTGTACTGGTTACACAGGAGAACTCAGTGTAAGACGTGTTCATAATGATAATAATATTGATAATAATAATAATAATAATAATAATGGTAATAATGGTATTATGAAGTACTCACTAATTTGTGAAAAATACTTCCTTCTTCAAAGGTCAAACTGCACCAATGGGTCATTTGAGGTTTTACAGAAAGATCTGGATGAAGGCATTAAATATAAGTGCAAGGAGGTGGCGCTGTAAGTAACACACACACAGAGAGAGAGAGAGAGAGAGAGAGAGAGAGAGAGAGAGAGAGAGAGAGAGAGAGAGAGGGCCCAGTTTTGTTTGGATAATAAACACTGTTCAGTCAGTTTTTCACAACTTGTGTTTTTTTTTTTTTTTTTTACCTCTTTTTCGCAGTTCTTGGCTCCAGAAATGTGGCTCCAAACCCAATCCAACGTGTGGTCCCTGTTGGTAGAACAACAGAGCAGAGAGTTTTTGTTCAATATTTTTATATGTTTATCTGATGAATCTTTGTAAATACTGCATTCGACGAGCCATATATTTATACGATATGGGTTTGATCATTTTGATACTTCTGCACCAGTGACGAAAAACAAGTCCTTAATGAATTGTTACTTTACTTTGGTATGATATAGTACAGTAATCCATGTGGAAACTGACTGTAGCATAGGGTAATAAATAAACAAGTTTAGTTGGAGTTTGATCACGAGTGAACTTAAATACAGTGTCATTATGATAAAAGTTGGATTCAAAGTTAGAGTAAATATAGTTGTTTTTTTTTTTCTGACAATGTCACATTGAAAGGATTTTGTCAGTGACATTGAGTTCTGTGAATGTCATTTGGGGCAATAATTATATATATATATATATATAAACTGCAATAACATTTTTATTGTCCCTCTCAATATTTTTTTCTGATCCGATAATTATTGTTATAACTTTTCATTTTCCATTTTCTCCAGCTCTTTTTTTGTTTCAGCTGAAACTCAAACCTTCTTCTCCCTCAGGAAGATGTGTGTAAATAAGAAAACTGTGAAACCACTGTACAGGCTTAGAATAATAATAATAATAAAAAAAATAAAAACAATAATAAACACCTTTTGTTGAAAGCCCCACGTTTTTCTGATGTGTGTGTGTGTGTGTGTGTGTGTGTGTGTGTGCGGTCACACAGGAAGGAACTCACACCCAGAGTTTCATGTACAGAGATGTGAGATATCACTGCGGCAGGAAAAACTCATCAAGCCTGTAACGAAACAAGAAGAAGAAGAAGAAGAAGAAGAAGAAAAACTCCTCTTCCCTTCCCTTGTGGGGACTTTGCCGCCTTGTCACTCGTACCGTAAACCAGCTGTGTCACTGCTGGGAAGCAGCATACAGTAGGGGCTCGATGCACAGGTGTTGGAAGACTTGAAGCCCCCTCCCATCATTTCTGTAAAGACAGTTTGTGACAGTGACGGGTGTGAGAAAGAGCGCGCTGTCGGTAAACGCAGTCACACTCTGAGTCAGTGGTTTTCACACTGCACAGTTACAGATTAGCATTACATGGCCACGTGAAGGTGGGTAAAAATGTGGAGATTGGAAGTTGTTAAATCCTGCCCCGTGGGTTTGAATCTCATTCATCATTTGAGATTCCTGACAGTAAAAATGTCAGCAGAAAAAAAAAATGCTAAATGCAAATTAACAATTTAAAAGTAAGTAAACCACAGTGGAAGATTCTGTAGAATATAAGAAAAAATTAAGGTAGAAATAGATGAGTGTTAGCATAGAACCATTTGTAACTAAACGTAGCTAAACCAACATTAGCTGGTTACTCTTCAGTAACAATTTCAAAAATTGTTTAGAGTTTAGCCTGAAATATATATATATATATATATTTAGGCAAAATGTATAATAAAAAAGATGAGCATTTGTAATGCGGACACGTGTCATCCTGGGCGGCGTGATTAAATACTCGGAATATGATCTTTGGCCAGTTGAGATCCACTTGAAGTACCGTGGTCCATTAATGAGTACTCGTGCTGTCATGGGCTGTGAAGGTGCTTTTGTGTCGGTACCTGGATCTGGTGTCCCTGCTGGGAGGGGATTCCTGGGTAAAACTCTAGGTTTAGGTTTCAGTTTCTTGCTGACGTGTTGCACATTTCTGAGATGATTTGCATGCAGTCTGTCAACCATATACAGAGGGCAGTAAACATGAAACAAGCAGATGGAAACAACCCTCATCAGTGACTAGTCTTATGACTGACTTTGTTTCCAGATTGTGTCTAAATGTTGACCTTTTGTTCTGCCTTTTTTCCGGGTGCTGACTTTACTAGAAAGCTCTACGTTGCGTCAATGCTAACTGTTTAGCTCTAAGCTAAATGACCCCCTGTTTGTGCATACATTAAAAAAAAAAGTGATTTAAACTGTAAAAATCAGCGGCAGCTTTAAGGTTTAGGTGTCTGACTAGGGACACATCGGCATGTAGCTGGGTAGTGAGCCCTAAGAGCAGCAGCAGCAGCAGCAGCAGCAGCAGCAGCAGCATTGATGTAATTTCCCCTTCCTTCCCTGAAGTCTGACTCAACACGTTTGGGAACAAGATTGTGTAAATACTAGGCTGCGTGAAGTGAGATTTTCCCACAGCAAACTGCCCGTATACAAGTCTATATATACCATTAATTGCTAATATATACTGACGTATAATGAGTTTACAGACATTAATAGTGCACATGTGGGGCGGGGGTTTCTGCAGTGTCATTTCAACCACAGTTATTTTGAATTGTTTCCTGGTTCTAAATGTGCTCAGTTTTTGTTTTTGTTTTTTCTCATTCAGGAAGTTCACACAGCGTCAGAGCGCAGCGAAAAATATTGACACGATTTCAACATCATGTACAGCTCTGCATAATGCAATGGTGTCCACAGTGTCATTCAGAATATTATATTATTATAATGTAATAATTTATATATATATAATATTTATATGTTGCCTTTTCAATCAGATAACACAGCTGTGAAGCTTATCCAAAAATGAAGCCAAAAATGTGTAAATGTAAACAGAAAAAGAGCCAACAGTAAAAACCCAAAATTAGGAATTTGATTTATATTTTAGCACAGGTTAAAATTTTAGGCAATAAAGGAAGAAAACATCCAAAAAAATTGGCGATATTGTTTTTGTTATTATTTGCACTCTTGGCTCTTGAACAATTAGCTCCTGCATCATAGATGGTGTAACTTCAGTAAATCATTGATGAAGAGATGAAAGCAGCTAACGATTAGCAAAAAAAAAATTAAATAATTAAAAATTAGAAAAAAATCCCCTAGCCTAACAACAATAAGAAACCACAGAAAGACCAAAGTGAGGAATTTAAAAAATTCCGAGGTTGTTGGGAATTATCCATATATATATACAGTATATATATATATATATATTAGCCAAGTTACAGGTAATAGTAAGCAAATATTAGTAAAATTAGATAAGGTGAGTTAACACATCGTGTCTAAATGTTAGTCAAAATAATTTAAATCACATGCCAATATGGAATTAACCTGGAGGATTAAAAGTCAATAAAAATATATATATATTTTTTCTTTACATTAATATCGTCCAGGCCTGACGTTTGTCCAGATATTTCAGGAACATCAGCAGGTTGTTCTTCTTTTACTTATATTTTCCTTTCATTCATACTGTGCTCGCTGAGTTTAACTTTAGTGTTGGGTGTTAGTCATCACTCGTACCATAAACACGCTAATTACCGCTCGCTCAGGCTGATGATCAGCCGCTTGTACTTTCCTTTTCCCTGGTTGCTCAGTGAGGCCAGGGAATCCCAGCAGCTGATTGGACGATTCTGGTTTTACCACGTCATTCTGTAACCTGGGTATAACTACACACTGAGGATGTGGTGAGTACAACAGGTCTGAGCTTCACTGAAGGATCTGCACTCATCACAGCAACAACATGGTGAGTTCTGCCTCATTTCTCAAGTCTGACTATACATTTACTCTACGGTAAAAAAAAATATCTTTGCTTGAATTAGGAATTTTATTATATTTTTTTTTTTTTTTTTTACATTTTTTTAAAGAAGTAGACGCAGCCACACGTGCAGCCTCACTGTGAGAGCGTGTGTTGTTGAGAAATCTCGTGACTGTCGCCTCTTTCACATCCTGTGTGGTTTTTTTAATTCCACCGTCATCGCCGTACCTCAACAGCACATGTTAAGTTCTCTGCATTATTAGCACAAACATCTGCAGCTTAAAAAAAAAAAAAGAGTACAGGACCAGTGGACCAACACTGGTGGTCTGTAGCTAGCAGCTTCAGAAAGAGTCCATAAGAAAAACCCTGAAATGTACACAGGTCCCAGGCCAATAAAGAGCTAGCCTAGCTTAGCATGTGGCAGCTCCACAGGTAGTTTACTAACGAAGCTCCACGTCTCTACAAGGGTGTCCAGAATTAGTCCAGTCAGAACAAGGCAGAGTATTTGGCCAAGATTTGTTTTTGTTGATTAAATAGAGAGGAAGTTCAGGAAATATCGGTTCCTACAGAAACAGGAAATAACCCAAGGTCCCACAGAAGTACAGTAACAGCCTGGTTCAACTTCTGGAACCTTCTGGTCCTGCTGGGACCACATTGTCACACACGGCGATAGCTTTAGCTTTTCAGCTAACAGGGGTCTCGGACTCGGGTCAACTTCCAGCCCATGAACCACACACCTGTGGTCTGAGACTGAAACGTCAACTGCTGGTGAAGTTTGACCCATGGTCCTTAATCACATGGTCCAGAAGGGCTTTTTTTTTGTCTTGTATTTTGAAAAATGACTGGAAACTTTTCAAAAATCCAAAAGCCCATTGACATTCCTCAAGACAAGTCCTTTTTTTTCATGACTATGTTTTTTTAAAGTCAAATGTTTTTATTTTTTTGTATCATTCTAAATAATATTAACATATCCTGCTATAATGTAACTTTTTTTTTTTAGTCTCTGCAGGACGCCATGAAGAACAGACACCAGACCAGAGATGAAAAAAGAAATCCTCACAGATTATATCCATCACTGCCAAATGTAGACAGGTGAGAAATAACAGCACGAAACACAAAATTTAATTAAATTAAACGTCATATCCTTTTCCAAGATCCTCTGTGTAATTTCCAGTAATTTTACAGTTACACAGTATTATATACAGTTATCTAAGATTTAACTTTTTATTTTAAAAAAATAACATTTTGCAATTATTTGTTACATTTTAGCAATATTTTGATGTATTTCAGCTAAAAAAAAATTAATTAAAAATTAAAAATAATGAATGCGACATCATTAATATTAGTGAATCAACGATTGGTGCATTTTTTCCCAAATGTCTTCAACCAAATCCTGGATTTTTACAGTTATGACCTCATCAAGCCAAAGGCTGAAAAACCTCCAGCAGTGTCAGAATTCTACGCTGACGGACAACTGGAAAACACGCAGGTACAGTAAACACACCAGCAGTGCTCAACAGTGGAATATACGTCTGTGCCCTCACTGACAATGACACAGAGTTACTGGAAGGGCTCCAGGGAAAAACTTCCAAAAGTGTGTAAAAGGAAGTTGGAGTTACATAACGGGCTGTAAACTCTGACCGGTGCCACACTTTGAACACTTCTTCTTTTCTGTTTCCCAAACAGCCCGAGGCGATGGCTGCCACAGGAGACGGCAGGCTGACCGCACAGATCCAGATCTTGGAGGAACAGAGGGAGGAGGTGAGAACATGGCTGAGCTGAGATTTATGATCTGCTTTAACCTATTCCCCCTCTCTCCCCTTCCTCTCCCCCCGCCCCTCGTCCTCCTGAGACTCATGTTCTTCTTTTTTCTCCCTCAGCTTTTTTCAATTAATGAAAAATGGGCGAAGGAATATCACAGCATGGTGCAGTACTACCAGCAGAAGGTGAGGGGCAGACTGTGAGTCTCCGACTGTGTTTACATGGGACTGAAAAAGTCAGGGACTTTTTAGTTTTGTTTTTTTGTTTTTGTTTAACTTCCTGACTTAAGGTCAGTCCATGAGCCAGTAATCAGCCTCAAAACATGGTCAACACTGACTTCAGCTATCAGAGCACACGATGAAGATTATTTATTCTTTATGAAATTATTACTCTATAAACAGCCCAAAGCTACGCTGTGGGGCCAGCAGCTACAGTATATGTAGCAAGACATAAAGCCAAAGTTATCATCATTATCTTGTAGCTGCACACTGACTTTTCTTTTTTTTTAAATTGAGTCCTGTGTCGTCTTCTTTCAGGTGAGGAATTTAAAAGAATTACTGAACATTCCGTTTGCCGAGGCGACATGTGACGTACGACAGAACGCCTTCTCCTCGTGTAAAAAGCTCAAGACGCTCAAAGAAAAAGACGACACCTGGGTAAATTCTAAAAAAAAAAAAAAAAAAAATCTTGGATCAGTTTGTCTGGTTAAACATATATTTATCTAAATTGTGTTTAATATGTTCTTTTTTTTTCTTTTACACAGGTTGAGGACATGAGCTCAATGTTGCTGAAAGCAGAAAAGGAGGCAATAGAACTACGAGCTCAGAACAGTGCTCTGACCAGAAGGGGGCAGCATCAGCATGAAGAGATCAAACGTCTAAACAAGGTGAGACAGGAAGTTAGCCACTGCTAACCAGCCAACTGATTAGTGATGTTTGTGCATTACTGCAAATACTTTCAACCAAAAGTTTCATTTTTGAATAAATTCTAAGGCTAACTAAAAATATGAAGAGGTTTAGTAGTTTTAAAAATGTAATGTTATCAGAAAAAGTAGCAAAAACAAAAAGCAAAAGCAAATAGGAGAAAAGAGGCAAATGTAGGTCAGGTCACATGACGGCTAATAGCTAAACAAAAGATAAGCCCAGGCATCGACAGCAATAGTAAATAGGCATTGTTAAAAGTTTAGCCGACCTGATAGGAAATACCGTAAAATTAACCTGGAAACTTCAGTACAGTGACAGGTAGAGTCTCACCGTGCTGCTCTGATGTGTTTTTCCAGGCCCTGGAGGAGGCTCTCGGCACAGCAACTGACAGGATGAGCAACCAGACACAGCAGGACATTTGGAAACATCAGGTGAGCCCAGGCCAATGTTTCAACTCCAACCTCCAACAGTTAAGTCAATAAAGCCAATTCTACCTTAACATCCACTTCCTTGTTGCCCATCTTTAGGCGGAGGTCTACAAAGAAGACTTCTTGACCGAGCGTAAGGACAGGGAGAAGCTGAAGGCCAAGCATTTGGAGCTGGAGAGTCAGTACAAGAAGGTCCGTGGTGAGCTGCGCGTCCTCAAATCTCAGGTGAGACATGTGGACAAGTGAATGAGGTTTTTTGGATTTTCTAAAAGTGGACCCAACTATTAGTCCAGCTGCACAATTAGAAGGTTCTTAAGACAGAAATAGATAGATAGTCACGTGATTAAGAAATCCTCAAAGCCTCATTTCAACACTTTTTCCCCCCCACAGGTGACTTGGACTCCACAAGTGGTGCACAAGTGCATCTGCATACACCAAGTCCAACTTCAAAACCACCAGCCCAACCAGAGGCCATCATAGCCCATTTCTTCAACAGTAGACTTCAATGGCATCTCCACACTTTTCTGAGATTAGTTTTCAGCTACAGGCTCACAGTTCAAGTCAACACAGAGTACAAGGGCCGAGAAGGTTCAGACACAAGGTCCACATTATCAACAAATGTACAACGAGAAGGAAAACTAGGTGAAGGAGACAAAGGCACAAAACAAGGAACATCCTGACATCCTAATTCACGTGGTCTGTGCTGCTGTGGGGTCAGCTGGTTACACTGTTTGGACTGAATTTTGATTGTTTAGACAAACAACACGAAGGTCGAGGAGCGATTACATGGGCGACGGGAAAGTCAATGATTAACAGTGGTAAACCTATTGCAGACATTTCACCTGAATTCTAGACTTGGCTTTAGTGTAGAATTTTTTAATTTTTTTATAAACATACCTACTGTACACAAAGTGTGTTTAAAAAAATTTTTTTTATACATACCTACTGTACACAAAGTGTGTTTTCTAAGTTTAACACAGGTCCTGAAGGAGATCGCAGTGATTGCACAACAGGCACAAAACACTAGTCTATTTACAACTGTATGTAATATATATTTATATATATTAATATAGACACACACATTTACTTTAACATAATGTTGGAACTCTTTTTTTTTTCATTTTCTAACACACAATCACATGTGAGTCATTCTAACACAATTCCTATAGTTTATAGTTCAGTTCTGGTTCATTTGTGCCTGAGGCTAAAGGGCAGTTAAATCATAAATGCTGTGAATACAATAAATGTTATTTTGACACTTTATTATATATTATAAAACTATTTATTTATACATTTTTGTTTTGTTTTTTTTGGTTGATTTGTTGTGTTTATATGTATTTATCATGGAAATAAAGAAGTGAATCAGATGTGTATTTTTCGTCAATGGGCTTTACACTTGACTTTTTCAAATACTTTTAAATCCTTTAAAGACTTTAAGAATAATTTTTCCAATCCTTCAAAACAGTTTTATTTAATTTCTTGCTGTGACATTAGGTTAAGTATGTTTTTCATCTGCCCTAAATTTACGTCTATGTTTAAAACAGTGTGATCAGCTACTTCCGGCTTCCGGCTTTAAGACTCTTTGTAGAATAATATAGTGAGAGTTTAAATCGGTTTTAATAAAACCATATTAAATTCGAAAAACTATAGTGACCTCTAGTAGTTGGCAAGCTTCCTGGAATGCAACCCACAATTTAGATTTTTAAACACTTACCTGTTATGAGCTCGGAGACCCCGCAGAAACACACGTATCAGGAGGAAATGACGAAAATCCTCTTTTCTGAGACCAACGTTTGTATTCTAACGGTGAATGCAGCCAAACTTCTACTACTATCAGAATAATTTTAAATTTTAGTTTCCTGAAATATTCACGCGTTAAATCCACAGTGAAAGCAGACCTGGAAACAGACAGGTGCTTCTAATTTAAAATCAGGTTCCCTCAGCCAATCAGAGAGGAGCTGTGATAGCCGTTGCTCCTGCTGCTTTATGCTACTTGCTAATAAACTCGCTCCGAGCTGCAACGGTGGTTTAGCGGTACCATCCATGTTTGTTATGTACAGTATATAATTCTGGGTTCAAGTCCTCCTCGCCCACAGTTTACAATGCATCTTAAATGTTGTTCCCTGCGACTTTTGGCCGAATTTTAAACTAATACAAAGGGAAACTGTTGACTTTTGGCTGTTAGCCATCATGTTGTTCAGTTAACCTTTGTTTCCTGCCAGCCCTTAGCTATGATTTCTTGGCAACTATGATGGAGGAAAGCTAAAATAATTAACATATGCCAACTTTGAGTTGTGTGTTTTATATTTAAGGGACTTCACTTTTTATATATGTATTTAAATCTTTTCAAATTCACAAACTGAGTTATCTTTCAGGTGATTTGATTTTATTTACTTATTTATTTACATTATTTACTTTTTTTTCTTAATAGCAATGCTTTAAAAATCCTAATTAGATTTAATTCAAGTTTTTTGGACACAGGTTCGGACACTGCTCTGAGCCCTTTGGTTCTGGTGAAACAAAGTCATGGAAGCAGATAATTATGAAGATTTTTTTTTTTACTTTTATTTTATTTGGCACAGTTATAGCAGCAATGTGTTCTGATTGTTTTCTACTCAGCACTGGCTAAAGAAACATTTAATTGTTTATTCATAAGGCACACGGTGGGTCTGAAACAGGACACTTGGAGCTCATGTGGAGTGATTGTCGATACAACTGCATAAAGTGCATATGCACACGAAACACAAAGAAAAGTCACACAGAGTATATCTGAAATCACCAGACCTGACTACATACTGGGTGGATTGGTCTGAAGATCCCTGCTGTCTATAAATAGATGTAATAATGTGTGATTATAAGGATGATCCGGGGCTTTTTTTTAATGCAGTGTAGCCAGTGCTCAGTGTCGTAGCATGTTGTACTAATGCAACTGGTGACGACATGGGGAAAAAACGAATACACTGAGACACCGTATGTCGTGGATTTTGTTTGACAGATAAATATGTTAAATACATTCTATCGAAGTATTCTCTGAACGACAGCATCAACAGCCAATAAGCAGAATTGGATTCTTAAAGAAGTGACAAACTTTGGCCAGTATTGCACCACCACTCATGACACATCAGCTGCTCCGCTAACGCCGCCACCATAGCAGGAAGATTAAAAAAACATCCACTTGTCAGAGGACCCGTCCGAAAATATTGTCCTTTTTTTTTTTGTTTCAGTAGAAAGCCGGGTTTGTGTGCTCGATGACGCAGCGCCGGCAGTGGCGCCGCACAAACCGCAGGGCCTCGGGCGACACCTCACACTCCTGCACGTTGAGCAGCTGCAGCTCGCAGCAGTTGGCCGCCAAAGCTTTGAGTCCCCGGCCCGTCACGCTCTCGCAGGATCGGAGGCTCACGCGCCTCAGGCCTTGGCAGTACATGGCCAGCTGTTCCAGTCCACTGTCTGACACCAGGGGGCACTTCCCTACGTCCAGAGACTTGAGTTTGGGGCAGCTTCTGGCCAGGTGGCCCAGTCCATGGTCTGTCAGTCCCTCGCACCCTCGGGCATTCAAGTAGCGCAGTCTGGGGCAGTAGCGAGCCACGTAGCGGATGCCCACATCTGTGATGCGGGTGCAGTGGGCCACGCTCAGGTAACGCAGGCAGCCGTTTGTGTGCTCGATGACGCAGCGCCGGCAGTGGCGCCGCACAAACCGCAGGGCCTCGGGCGACACCTCACACTCCTGCACGTTGAGCAGCTGCAGCTCGCAGCAGTTGGCCGCCAAAGCTTTGAGTCCCCGGCCCGTCACGCTCTCGCAGGATCGGAGGCTCACGCGCCTCAGGCCTTGGCAGTACATGGCCAGCTGTTCCAGTCCACTGTCTGACACCAGGGGGCACTTCCCCACGTCCAGAGACTTGAGTTTGGGGCAGCTTCTGGCCAGGTGGCCCAGTCCGTGGTCTGTCAGTCCCTCGCACCCTCGGGCATTCAAGTAGCGCAGTCTGGGGCAGTAGCGAGCCACGTAGCGGATGCCCACGTCTGTGATGCGGGTGCAGTGGGCCACGCTCAGGTAACGCAGGCAGCCCTCCAGCCGTGCGACTTCACGGAGGCCGAAATCCCCCACCAGTCTGCAGTCACTGAGGCTCAGCTCCTTTATGGAGGGGCAGTGGAGAGCTAGGTGGCGCAGGGCCTCATCTGTCAGTCTGGTGCAGCGTCGTAAATACAGATGTGTGAGGCGCGGGCAGTGGGAGGCGATGGTTCGCAGACCCTCGTCCTCCAGTGAGAAGCAGTCGGTCATGTCCAGGTAGTGGATGGAGATCTGCTGACCGTGAAGAGGTGACAGCTGCAGGGAGGCCTCCTGGGTGAGGCTGATGCACGTCACCTTGGAGCAGCCTGAAGAAAAAGAAGAAGAATTTAGTCAGAATATGGTTGGCTAAATACAATTCAGAGCTCCATGTTTTGGTGGAGCTGTACACCACCAACAACAGCAATAAAACGTCAAAATATGACATTAAAACATTAACCACTGTGACAAAAGACGGTAAAGTTCCAAAACATAACCACCAGAGGCCGCCACAGTAAAACCTGTCATATTTGGATCTGCGCCTACAACAAGTAGGAAAAATCTTCTGACTTTGCCAACCTTGTGGTCAGCCACTTTATGAGTCAAAATATCATTATTTCTGACATTTTAAATAAACACCAGCCTTATTAAAGATGGTTTTCTCTCTAACAAAGGTTTACGTCTGTGGTTCAAATGCTGCAGGCACCAGAGCCTTGTCCATAGAATGTTATTTGTGTCACTTCCTTAATGAAAGCAGCAGACCGAGTCTTTTCGTTAACCTCTGTGTCTCAGCTAAAGAAAGCCTTTCTTCTCCCACATGGGAGCCGTCGGTTGGCAGAACTTCTCCCACTCCTCTGATGATTTTACCAGCTTCAGGAGAAATGACTGAGGTGAACTGAGAGGGGGAATTTGTTAAAAGCACATGTGAAGAATGTAAGGCCGGGGAAAAATGGATTTAATGGCTTTGAGGAATCATTAAAGCAGTGCTGCGATACTTGACTTCAGGATTCATGGCTCTTATTCAAACACTAACGACTTGGACTTGAAGGTGGGACTTGACCTGCCTCCACTCTGATTTCTACACTGACTTGGACTTGTAACCATGGGGATTGATCCAGACCTGGACTGGACTGGACAAACAAGAATCTCCACTTGAGGTTCTACATTCTTGACTTAGACGTCAAGGTTTGCCATCTTTTTGCTGACTTGGATTTAGAACTCAAGTTCAATTTTCTCTGGGGACTTGGAATTGAAATTCAAACTCGACGTATTGAAAATTTGACTCAGAAAAACCCAGACTTTAAGACTTGACTTAAACTCTGCAGATTAGACACAATTTGAAGTTGAACTTCTTTGGGCAGAAACTTGTTTACTAGTCATTTCTACCTGACAGGTTGAGGTGCTCCAGGTTGGGGCAGCAGGACACCACCTCAAACACCGCGTCATTGGAGATGTTGTAACACCCAGCCACCTCCAGACGGCGCAGTTCTGGGCAGCACTGGGCCACCACGTGCAGCCCACGGTCGGTCAGCCTCTTGCAGCCGTTCACCATCACCGTCTCCAGGGTCAGACACACGTTGGGCGTGTCCTGGCAGAGGCGGTGGGTCAGGACCCTGATGGCTCGGTCCACGTGGAGCAGCTCCCCCGTCAGGCGTACGGTGATCCACAGCCTGGGATCCCACGCCAGGTTGTACCAGCGGCGGCAGACGCGAGCACATCGGCAGAGCTGATTGGTTGGGAGGTGGGAGAAGATCTGCAGGAGGGTGTGGTCAGGGAGGAGGTCGATGGGGGCGTGGAGGTGGGTTTTGGATTGACGGGACCTGGTGTGGGTTCCGGGCTGAGGGTGGACCACGGCCACGGTCTCGGCCGGGGCTGAGGACGAGGACGAGGAGTTGGTCTCGTGGCCATTGCTGGAGAGAGCGGGCGAGGAGAGAGACGAGGACTTGGAGGGCAGGATCAGACCAGGACTGGGGGTGCTCAGAGTCCTGGTGCTGGAGTCTAGACCTGGACACCAGAAAAGATTAAAGATTAAATGAGGAAAAAGAAAATCTTCAGTTTTCTTTCAGTTAATGTTTTGAGCTACGTTTTAGCTCCTCCTGGCTTTAAACTTTATGACTTTCTTGTATAAAGTTTTGGCTGTTAGCTCATTTGCTAAATCTAATCTGGCCTTATTTTTAAGACTACATCGGCTCTAACTTTCGTACATCTTTGTTTAGGTTTTATCCAAGTACCTATTTTTCAATCAATAGATATATATATTAGATGTTGGACGTTTATTCCTTTATCTCGGCTGCAAATGCTGAAAATAGTCCTAACTCCATTTCTGACTCTGGCGAGGTTAATGTCCAAATCCCACATCTCCAAATTTCCACCGGTGGAAAAGGAGAAATCCATCTGCAGATCCATAATTCAATATCATCATTACGTGACATTACGGCCGATTCCAAGAATAATTTCAAAAATAAAACAGTCCGATGTGAATTGTTTTTGTGCTTTTCTGGAGCCCTGACTCACTCCCTCCGCCGACTCCTGACATCTGACAACACCTCCGCTACAGCCAGTGTGTTTCAGGCTCCACAGACGTGGAGAAAACGGCTAATGCTGACACCAGGTCACTCATAACCAAAAACTAAATAATTCCATTCAAAAAAAAAAAAAAAAGAAAAAAAAATTCAACCGCAGCATCATAAGAAACACTGACTTGACCTTCTAGTGAAGACAGGGAAAAAGAGAGGAGGAAACATCTGAAACTCAATTAGGTTTCCTTTAAACTCTGCCTGCCCTCTCACATACTATATTTAGGTCTCTGTCTTAGGCACCAAAATCAGACAGTCCCTTTCCCATCATGCACCCTGCAGCATGCTTCCATTAGAGCCCAGCCTGGTAAACACCAGCTGTCTTTGAACTCACAGTCTGCAGAATCCTAACCGGATTTCTGTCAAATTTCTCTGTGGTTTTCCAAAACTCATGTTGAGATA